CCATTGACATTGCCTCCAGTCAGAAGCCTCCATTCAGCGCTAACCAACCTGGTCCTCCACCCATTTCATGACCACTGACATATTTAGCAGCAGGGCGCTGTATCATGTTTTGCTGCTCTGTACTGCAGGTAGTGGTGGGCAGAGCATGGTTTCATATTCAGACCCAAAATACTAGGTTGCAGTTTATGAGCTCACCTGACTGGATTGCTAATGACTTGCTGCCTCTCCCTTCAGCTTTGCTGAACTCACTCACACTTTACCAAATCAGCCAAACCATTAGCCAGGTGGGAATATTTTTTCCCTCTCCCTTCACTGAAGACATGAGGGGGGAAAAAAAAAAAAAAAAAAAAAAAAAAAAAGTGTATTGCTCATTTCTATGCTCTATGGCATATTGGTTTAAAGTTTACAGTCCTTTAAAGTTACAAAATTCAAGCTGTATTTCAAGACGAGATTCCCTGACCAAGAGCATTATCCTTCAGATTACAATCAATATCATGTAATAATGGATCAAAGCTGAATATACGAAACCAACATGTACTCAACTGGACAACCATTTCAACAGCACAGCTACTGTGACAGATGGTTTTTAGTGACAACATCACTGTTTTTGGTGACAATATTCCACATTTTCCTTATGTATAACTTCAAATCACAACTTGTAGAGAAAAAAATATATATATCTCTATATCCAACACCATCAGGAACATTTCTGATGAACAACTGTGAGAAGCAGAATAACTACAGGTTCTACCTTACCCTAAACACAGAGTGGATAACTGCTCAAAGCCCCTTATAGTTCTACTAATGGGCGTTAGAGATGCACCACAGGAGGAATACATGAAAAAAATTTTCTTCACATATGCAGAATTCACTGGATTCAAAATGCATTTTCTGAGCACGTACATATGGATGAAGAGGATGGGGGAAGGCTCAAATTGTGGTTCATGCTGTTGTTCCAGGTAACTTAGGTTGAAGTTTCACTGGCTTCACTAACAAAACTGAACGTACTAATTGGACATAGCCTGTAATTTCTCTTTTTTAAATGAATCACAAATCGCATCACTCTATGAAACTTTGAAAGTTTTGCAAACAGAGAAGATAAAAGCAATGAAAAGAGATCATCTCTTTCATTTTATACTCATGCATGCCCAGATATATATACACAGAGAAATGGCAGGAGTTAGAAAACTGTGAGATTTCATCACGTACTTCATAGAATCATAGAATTTATCAGGTTGGAAAAGACCTTAAAGATCATCAAGTCTAACCACAACCTAGCCGTACTACCCTAACAGCCCTCTGCTAAATGATGTCCCTGAGCACCACATCCAAACCATTTTTAAACACCATCCAGAGATGGTGACTCAACCACCTCCCTGGGGAGCCTATTCCAGTGCTTAACAACCCTTCCTGTAAAGAAGTGTTTCCTGATATCACAGAATCACAGAATTGCCAGGGTTGGAAGGGACCTCAAGGATCATGAATCTCCAATCCCCTTGCCACAGTCAGGGCCACCAACCTCCACATTTAATACTAGACCAGGCTGCCCAGGGCCCCATCCAACCTGGCTTTGAACACCTCTAGGGACAGGGCATCCACAACCTCTCCAGGCAGCCTGTTCCAGCACCTCACCACTCTCTCTGTAAAGAATTTCCCCAACCTAAACTTACCCTGGTGCAGCTTGCAGCCAATTCTCCTCGTCCTGTCACCTGTCACCAGTGAGAAGAGACCAGCCCCACTCCTGCTGTAAGCACCTTTCAGATACTGAAAGAGAGCAATAAGATCTCCCCTCAGCCTCCTTTTCCCCAGACTGACAGCTCCAGTTCCTTCAGTCGCTCCTTGTAGGGCATATTCTCCAAGCAATACTGGATTATAGTATATTATAACCAAGCATTATTTTGCATTCACATTATCTCTAGGTGTGAGAATCTGGGGTCATAAGGAAAATTTTAATGGAAGAAATTAATTTGAGAAGTTATTCTCAAAAACACAAAGCTTCATCTGATTTAACCAAAGACTACAAATTAATCAAAGGCAATAAGCTCAAGAAATCCTGGATTAAAACTGACCCTCTACAGCACGCAGCCTTTTCCAGTAAATAGACAGGATTGGTTTTTTAAGCTATTGAAAGTCTGTAAGTATTTTCTTATTCCTAAAAATAAGCAGTCATTTCAACACTCATTTCTCATCTCTTTCTTCAGAGCTGCATACTACTATGGATGCATGCTTCCACCAACTTGAAAAATAATATTATCCTTCATATCTGTATGCAATGCCATGATTCATTGTGTTGACATGGCCTTTCAGCTGAAACACTTGCCTTTTTTTCTGCTGATTCCGAAAATGGCATTGATGGTCTGGAAAATCTAACAATCATCTTCAGCACTCACACATAGATACAACTCACTCCTTCATGGAGAAATTGCTCAAAGATATCAACTGACCATTACATTAAAACAAATTAAAAAAAAAAAAAAAAAGCCCCATTTTACTTAAGTGTACTGATCCTAGAAACAGGCCTATCTACATCATCCAGGAAAAATTAGAGACTGTAGAGGCTGCTGTAAAGAAATAAAGTTTCCAGTACAATGTATGTTCCCTTCCACACATCACATCACTCCAGCCCTTCAGTGATGATTTCATATCCTGCCCCAAAGTGACACAGAGACACAGCAAGCAGCAGTATTGTCCTTTAGGTCTGTAATGAAAAGCATTTATCACAGACTGTGCTACAGATTATTTGAAAATAAATTTATTTTGTGTTTAACCCACTTCCAGCTTCGGAACTATTAAAAACAGACTCAGCTGCACATGTAATTCTTGTACTCCATAGCTAGCAGGAGAGGATAAACATTTGCTGGCGTTCAAGTTCCTCCTTTATCTCAAAGGTAAAATCATGGTAATATAACAGGTCAAAGTTCTCAATTCCCTTCTTCCCCACCATAATTTCTAAAGCTATATTATTACTCTCCACTTCCGTCCCCCCTACCCATTTCTAAAACATTACTCAATACTGTAACTATCATCCCTAACAGTCTTAATGATGAAAGGAAACATCTTACAACCTTTTTTTTTCCTTTTAAAATGTAAACTTTTTCCTTCAATACAGACAAAATTGCAAAAACATCCAAACCACTAATTGAAAATCTCATCACTAAAAGCTCAAATAAACCATTCACATGTGCAGTGATGCTTACTGAGACCTGCTGCACAATGGTTGATGCTGTCTACTGTACATTGTCTCGTTGTTTGCAGCAGAGACAGCAAGTCACAATCAAATCAGCATTACACACATCCCCTGAGCCAGCAGCGCTGCAGGAGGAGAGGATGAGTAGAATAGACAGGCTGGCTTCAAAGGCCTGAAATGCTTACAGTCCTTTCCTGCTGCTGGCTTTCATTCTCAGAGCTGTTAGCTATTCCGTCTGTTGTTTACACTAAATATTCATTAGTGAGACAAGACAAGTTTGTTTTGCCTTAACATGCCAAAAAAGAGGAAAAACATCCAGAAACGGATAAGAGATGGAATTAGTGCTAGTCACAGGCAACTACTATGCTGAATTCCAACACTGGTAAGACAGAAGAAACGGGCAGGAAAGATTTAGAAAGAAAATTTAAAGAAATGCCTTTGCCCATAGAAAGGACTTCTGTACCTGCAGCTTTCATCCTTCTCCCTTCCTTCCCATCTGAAGCCTTTTGCTCTGCAGGGTTAAGGACTTACATACCATAGCTTACAGTAAGCTTTAAGCCGACTCTACTGTCTAAGCATCAATGACAGCATGCACTGGGACAGATGTTAACTATAGGGTCACTGCCTCCTGATGCATCCAACCTTCCTGCTGCCACCTGACAGCCCCTCAGCCACTTCCCACCATTTGCTGGACAACACTTCCTCACACTACAGAGGGCCCTTCATTCGTCTTGTCAGGATGCAGTACCCAAATCCCAGCCCTTAACTGAAGAGGAAAACTTAAAACTAACAACATTTTTTAGTAAATTCTGGAACAGACCACACAGGGAGGTGGTGGAATCAGTGTCCCTGGAAGTGTTCAAGTACAGGTGCCTTTCACCCAAAGAGAGGTGTTAGGCCTAGAAAACTTTACTGGTGCAATGCCCCAGCTGTGCAGCCAAACACCTGACAACACGAGCCCTCTCATCACATTCTCAAAAAAAAAATTAAAAACAAAAAAAGTATATATACCTATATATGTATACATATATCCTAAATTAGTTACCAGACTGCTGTGATTTTTACCACCAACAGCTGAAGTCCAGCAAAGTTACACAGCCATACAAACGCACTGAGCTTGACCAGGGCACTCCCTGGCCGAGCAGATCGACAGCCCCCGAACCTCACCTCCAACATCGGCGTGAAGGGGAAGCAACAGATGATTTGCGTTCTTTTGTGCCATGGAATATTTGCGTGAAAATCGCGAAGCATCTGAATATCATGACACATCTAAAATTTAAAGATTGTTTCGTACAAGACGCACTCCAGCAGGAACTGAAGTCGGCTCAGGGAGCCGGGCTAGCTTAATGTGTAACAGACTCTCCTGACCCGACTGCCCTAACCCAACCAGCTCGCACCAGTGCGCGGTAACCAGCGTCCGAGCGGTCGCGGAGCGTCGAGCCGCAGCCGGGTGACTCCTAAAGGCACGGCAGCGGCTGGCGTCACGTCCTCACCGGGAGCCGTGGCAGCTCCTGGAGAGCCGACCAGCGGTATGGGGCGCCCCGCCGCTCCAAACCTTCTGCCCGTACCGCCCCGGGACCGGGAACTCTCCGGTACCTCTCCCTGCCGGCCGGCAAGATTCTCTGCTCCTGCACGCAGCTGTGCAACGAGAAGGGAGCGCTAACTGCGCTCGTGCCGCCTGCACGAGCTGCAGCCTCTACCTCGGGCGTGGTGGCGGAGCGGACAAACAACGGGCAGCGTCCCCGGCCCCCGACCTCCCCGTCCCGTGCAGCCTCCCTCTCCTCCCTTTTCCTCCCTATCCGGGGACACTCACGCAGGCAAAGCTGGGTGACATAGGCGTAGTAGGACCAGCAGAGGATGCTGGAGATGAAGAGCACGGGCACCCAGTAGAGCAGCCGCTGGCAACGCCGCCGCACGCCGCCCCAGCCGCCCGCAGCCCCGGCTGCAGGCGCGGAGGGCGCCGCCGCCGCCATCTTCCCGCACCGCATCCCGACCGCGCACTCCGCGACCCGCGGCCCGGCCGCACATCCCCGCCCCGCCGGGTCCCTCCTTCCGCGCTCCTCCCCCTCATGGGGCGGCCCTGCCCGCCCATCGCCGTCTCCACCGGGACGGGCTGGGGGCTCAGCGTTGGGTGCTGCAAAGCTTGGGGGGACGGTGGATCCCGTGGTTCTTTATGGTGCATCCACCATCTTTTTGCACCCAGGACTGGTGATATTTAATCTCCCTTGAAAGCGTTTTAAAAACACTTGGACAAACGTTGCCCGGTTTGCAGGCAGTGTTTCACAGTTAGCGAAAAACCTCAGCTGATCAGTAATGACTAGCAAGCGTTGCTGCAGGCGTTGCGAGGCTGCTGGAGCTCCGGCACCGCGCGGTGCTGGCACGGGATGCTTGGCGGAACGCAGCTGCTGACTCACCCTTCCCAAAGTTACGGGCATCGTCATCAATCAGCCCTGAGGTGTCCCAGGAAATCCAGACTGCCTTACGGGATGCACAGCCGAATCCTGGCTGGGTGTCAGAAATGGCGGGAAGGGCCCTGTCCCTGCATGCTGCTGGAAGCTCCCGAGTGCTGGCAGTGCAGTGAGTGTGGGGAGCAGTGGCCATAGGACGCGTTCACACTTGGAAAAAGACTCCATAATGTCCCACGCGTGAGACCATTTCTGCAGCAAAGTAATGGCAGTGCAGCTGCTGCTGACTAAAAACAAGATGCGAGACAGGAAAAAAAACCCCAACAAAATAAAATATGACATAGATGTGCCACCAGGTTACAAAATATCAGGATGAGTTGTTAGCATGTTTATTACATTCACAGAAAAAGGAGTTGGCCATATAGCTGCAGCGTTTTTAATGCAATGCAAAACCACATGCCTTTGTCATTACACGATTAGGCAAGGGAATTTCAGCTAGCCTTGGTGAACCGGGTAAATGAGCAATGCAGAATTACACACTGAGGGGAAAGTGTAAAGCTATAAAATATGCCATGGCAGGAGATTACCTTCACCAATTAAAAAAAATAAAGACTGGTGAATGGCTCAGTGGAACCATCTCATCAATGTACAGTTGCTATATCATACAATCATAGAATCATAGAATTTATCAGGTTGGAAAAGACCTTAAAGATCATCGAGTCCAACCATAACCTAACCATACTACCCTAACTCTAACAACCCTCTGCTAAATGATGTCCCTGAGCACCACAACCAAACGATTTTTAAACACATCCAGGGATGGCAGCTCAACCGTCTCCCTGGGGAGCCAATTCCAGTGCTTAACAACCCTTTCTGTAAATAAGTTTTTCCTGATATCCAACCTAAACTTACCCTGGTGCAGCTTAAGGCCATTTCTCCTCATTCTGTCACCTGTCACCAGTGAGAAGAGACCAGCCTTGCTCTCACTGTAAGCACCTTTCAGATATTGGAATAGAGCAATAAGATCTCCCCGCAGCCTCCTTTTCCCCAGACTGGGCAGCCCCAGATCTTTCAGTCTCTTCTCATAGGAATATTCTCTAAGCCCTTCACAAGCCTTGTTGCCCTTCTTTGGACCTGCTCCTCAGTGTCCTTTCTGTACTGAGGTGCCCAAAAATGAACACAGTACTTGAGATGAGGCTTCACCAATGCCAAGTTCAGGGGCAGGATGACTTCCCTAGTCCTGCTCACCACATCATTCCTGATCCAAGTCAGGATGCCATTGGCCTTCTTGGCCACCTGTACACACTGCTGGCTCATATTCAGCTGACTGTCCATCAGTACACCAACGTCACTTTCCATCAGGCAGCTTTCCAGCCACTCTTCCCCAAGCCTTTGGGGTTGCCTGGAGTTGTTGTGACCAAAATGCAGGACCTGACACTTCGCCCTATTGAAACTCATACAGTTTACCTTGGCTCATTGATCCAGTCTATCCAGAACCCTCTGTAGTGCCCTTCTCCCCTCAGGCAGTTCAATACTCCCCCTCCCAACTTTGTATCATCTGCAAACTTACTGAGTGTGCACTCAATCCCCTCATCAAGATCGTTAATAAAGATGTTAAATAGAAGCAGCCCCAGTACTGAGCCCTGGGGGACACTGCTTGTGACCAGCCATCAACTGGATTTAACTCCACTGAATTAGAATTCTCTCATACATCGTTTTAAAATGCTGCGTATGATACAGGACATACCACAACACATGGAAGGGAAACATGCTAAGCAGTGAAGAATTTATAACCAAGTAATTAATTATTTGAAGACCTCAAATTGGATTGTAGAACTTCTGGTCAGAGGGTCTTCATTGCCCCTCTATGGAAGTGGGCATCTGTAGTCCGGCTTTCTGAATTTTTCATGGGTGGTACCATTCTCCTCTCACTGCGCAGATTCCACAATAATTGAGATTTTTTTTCTTTATTTAGTATACTAATAGGTGTTAATTCTTCTTAATATGGCATACTCTTTACTAGAGCTCCAAAATCATGTTCATTGTGGTTCAAAATTAGTCTGTTTAGTGAAACAAACAGGCCAACTTCACTTCAGTTTGGTCAGGACCAGATAACCCTGCCTTGGCTAATGCTCATTACCTTGCAGCATCTTTTGGTCAGAGTGCGGTAGAGGGTTCTTCCCTTCTGCCCTCACCCTGTGCCTGTCCCTCTAAATCCATGCCCATTGGTTCTACAGCTATACCACTCTCTGGAGAAACCTTCCCTCCTCCTCATCCCTCTTCGTGCTGTGGTGAAGCCATCAAAGAAGTCATTTAGCAACAGAAAACCTCAAGAGAGCATATTAAGAGGATTTATTGCATTATGGTGAAAGTAAATTGTGGGATAACCTAAATGGTTAGGTCTACATAGGTAGGTTTCCTGACTGACAGCCTCTCCACAATTGCTTGGGCTATGGTGTACTGTTGCTCTCACAAATATAGACAGAAAACAAAGGCAATTGACTTTCTTGTCATGTCAGGAACTAGACAGTGAGTAGCTGGGTTTGAAGAGGAGGCCTCAATGAGTTTAGCTTACCTTCTTTTCCTTAGCATCTCACTTGGCAAGGTCCTTATCAGATGGTGATAATGAAACAGGCATTCTCATCTTCCACTGGCTCTGACAGGGAGCTTCCTGCTTTGGGTATAGAAGCAGAGGGTGCTAATAGCACCTCTTTCCATAGGAAACCATCTTCTTGTCTTCTGTAAAGGTCTAGTTTAAAAATATTCCTGAGCAAGTTGAAAGCACCACCTTGAGATAAAAGTCACACCACGGTTGTCATTGCTGATGAGTTCTTTTACATTACCGTCAGATCGTGCTGCATTTCTACAATGCCTGTTGTGTATGGGTAGCTGTAAAGAGCATTCTGGTGCACTTAAGAAGTGAGAAACTGAACTAGGAATTCTGATCTTAGCAAGTCATCCAGCTAGAGCAAACAGTAGGATAGGGTCTGTACACACCTAGTGAAATTATGCTGGCATCTTGAAAGTATTTTAACATGTATTAAACAGTTCCTGATAATCAATCTTGTGAAGTAATAGAGCAAAATTGAAAGTAATATCAGGGAGGGAGAACGTTTCATGTGGTGGAGAGAAATGATCTGTAATTGATAATTTGGCATAAAGAGTCCCTTAAGAGCTCTGTTTTGTAACAGTTTGGAAGGTCATAAAATTTTAAACCAATAAGAATAAAAAAGTAAAATGAGCCATAAAAGAAAATAACCAGAACAATGATTATGTAAATGGACAGTGTTCTCCTTAATGTATATGTGGTTTAAATATCCGAATACTGCAGTGAGAGAGCATTTGTCACGCTTAGGTTGGGAATTGCTTCAGCATCCATTCAGTTTCCTGAGGATTTAATATCCAGAGATGGCCATAGATGTTCAAATTTATAGCCCATTCATGAGTTATGACGAGTAGCTGGAAGCACAACATGTGTAACAGCTATAAAATCCCACTGAACTCTTAAGACTACCGTTACAAAAACTGAGTGCGGAAAAACAAGACTTCATATTGTGAGCTCATTTTGAATTGTCACAGATTTACTGAATGCTAGAACTGTCTGCAAGCCACGAAGCATGATTCTTCCTACAATCTCATAATAACTTTTTGATTGTTTTAAGCACGCTATTTTAGAAATATAACCTTTCATTTGGTCAGTTAAAAACTCCCAAACAAGGTATATGCAGAATGTTGTTAGTGCTGAATAAACACACTAACATGCTTTTAAATGAAGAAGTGCTTTTTTTTTTTTTTCTTCCAGCGAATCAAACCAGGAATTTATGGTTTACTGACTATTAACATCTTGTCTATGTAAGCAAGCTGATATGATGGAGTAGTTTCTCAGTCACCAGATGTCCCACATGTTTAGTGAAGCAAAAAAAGGAGGAAGGAGAATAGGACAGGAGGGTAACTTTGCCTTCATACCAGTGCAATGCACAGGCAGGCAGGTAGAAGCAGGAATCCATGTTGACACAGGCGCACAAACATTGCTAATTAGTAGCTTTGCAGGGATGTTCTTTGACATTCATGGTAGAGAACGTGCTGGTAGCTCCTCTCCAGAGAGCCTATGAGTGGTCGCACACTTACCACACATGGAAAAAGAAATCTTTTGGTAGTGTCTCCTTCATGAGAGACCTCCTTCATGAGAGACATCCTCAGCAAATGTATGTTGCATCCCAGCTGGAGTCAAGTACCATCTGTCTATAGTTCATGGCTCCCAGCCACTTGGGAAACGAGCCACTTGGTAGCCCCTCCTGTCTTAAACATTCTAGCCATGAGATGGAATCTCATTGAAGTGCTGGCCCAAATATATTCACTCTTGCTCTCCACTCACCCTAGCTAGGTACTTAATTTGCAGCTGTTTGGATACCCAAACCTGACTGCCGTTGTAAGCTTTTCATTTATTCATTTTTCATACTCTCCACAAGAGAGGCTCACTTAGCTTTTTTTCAGGTAATGAAATCCTTCCTAGTGATTTCCTGAATGCCGTTCCTGGACTGGTACAATACTGTATTTGCAGAGTCTGTCGTAAGGGGTGTTGTCCAAAGCTGCATTTA